CAGCGTAAGTTTAAGCCACCAGGTCCAGGACTCAAACCACGATCGATTACATGGGAGTCCAGGAACGTAGCCATTATGCCAACTGCTGGTCCCAGTTGACATTTTTCTTTGTTGACAATGTTGTGAATTTTTAAGGAAAATACTTCAAATATTACAAAATAATGCAGAGCCTTAGTTCCACCAAGCCACCTGGCATTTTGCATTTGTCCATCTTAGCCACAGGAGCTTTTGAAAATGTCACTTTATTTTTATTAGAAATTGTTTGCTACTGGGGCCAGCAGGTAGCATGGTGGCTAAATGCACTGGACTCCTGCACGGCTGACCGTGGTTCTAGTACTGGACTTGGTGGCTTGCTTTCTCACTTTCCATCTCTCTCTCGCTGTCTCTCTCTGATCAAATTGGAAAATAACAATAATAGTAATAAATAAAGTTAAATAAAATTTAATAAAAAAAGAAATTGCTTGCTACTAAAGAACATATGGAGAGGATTTTTGCCTATTTCAATAAAACGAACCTGAATATAAATGAAAGATATAAATTTCTTATAAGAAAAAGAAAATATTTAAATGTACTATATTTAAATAAAAAGTGTACTTGTCACTTTTTAAAAATAATTATTTAATTTTATTTATTTATTATGATTATGTTTCAGTTTGAACAGAAAGAGAGAGAGACAAAGGGAAAGTAAGAAAGCAAGCCACCAGGTCTGGGACTCGAACTGCTGTCAGGAATGGAGGAGTCCAGTTCCGTAACCACCATGCCACCTGCCAGCCTCCAGGGCTTATCACTTTTAAATCCATTAAGGATAGACCTCTTTGAATATATAAATCTTTGTACCTGAGAGTGGTAGGAACATACTAAGTGCTTAGTAAATACTTGTGAAATAAAAAGCCATTTACCTGCATTCATTGAATGTGTACCAATTCAAACCCATTGAACTCCTTTCAAAAGAAATATAATTAATAGTACCAGCAAGAATCTATGACTAATAAACTATGGTATTCTTTTTTAAATTGTTTTTTATTATGATTTATACATTCGATTGCTATACATCATTTAGATTGTAAAGAGACTTTACCCAGCATGATACATACCACAGACCAGCCCAGTTGAGAATACCATATATGTCATCCACAATGGGTAATAAACCATATCCCTGTCCCACTAATGTCCTACCTCTCCCTTTTCCCCCCAAATTTCTCTTCCTACACTCTTTTCTCTCCCACTCTCCTTCCACTTTGTCCCCAGTGTCTATAACAATCTTCAATGCTTCTGTGTCCTTTACTCTTTCAGTCTCTACCATAGAATGCAGACAGTTGGTATATATTAAGTGGAGACATACAATGTCTCTCTTTCCTAGCTTGGTTTGCTTCACTCAGCAATAAATCTCCCATATTCATCCACTTTCTATCAAATGCCAGGGTCTTTTTTTTATGACTGAATAGTATTCCATAGAGTATATGTGCTATACCATTTCAGTTCATTCATCTGTTTGTGGACATTTGGGTTGGTTCCATGTCTTAGCAATTGTGAATAATGCCTCAATAAATATAGATATGCAAGAGCTTTTCCAACAGAGCATTCTCCTGTCCTTTGGATAGATAGTCAAGAGTGGAATTGCTGGATCATGTGGTAGTTCTATTTGAAGTTTCTTGAGGAACCTCCATATTGTTCTCCACATTAGTTGAACTAATTTACATTCCTACCAACAATATAGGAGAGTTCCCTTATCACCGTATCCCCACCAGTACTTACCATGTTTTTTGTTTGTTTGTTTGTTTGTTTAATCTTCACCATTCTGGCTGGGGTTAGGTGGTATCTCATTGTGGTTTTGATCTGCATCTCCCTTATGAAGAGGAATGTTGAGCATTTTTTCATATGCTGTTTGGCTGTTCATATGTCTTCTTTAGAGAGTTGTTTATTCAGCTTATTTTCCCATCTTTTAATTGGGTTAATCATTTTCTTCCAGGTAAACTGCTTGAGTTCCCTGTGTATTCTGGTTATCAGTCCCTTATCTGAGGTATAGTTTACAAAAATTTCCTCCCAGTCCAAGGGTTGTCAATCCACACTAGTTACCATGTCCTTTGCTGTGGAGAAACTCCTTAATCTGATATAATCCCACTTGTCTATTTTGGAGATTTGGTATTCTTAGTAAGTGTAAAAAAGTTCTGCATGATAGTTTAGCTGGGTATAGAATTCTGGGTATAGAGTTTCTTTCTCTCTGCATGTTGAAGATTTCCCATTATCTTTTGGTGGTAATAGTGATAATGAGAAGTCTGATGCTAATTTGTCATTTCTTTATAGGATAACTTGTCTTTTCTCTCATAGTTTTTAAGAGAGTCCCTTTATCTTCAATATAACAGAATTATATTTATTTTTATCTTTCTCACTAGATATTCTCTATTCTTTTTTTCATTTCATTTCAAGGAGTCATGGCTTCTTTATTTGTCTGCGGTTATCCTTTTGGCATTATCTCTTCCATTTTTCCATTTTACTTGTTCTCTCCTTCTACATTTTAGAAATTTTGGTCTATTTTCTGTCATGTCTTTTGTCTCTTAATTTATTTCCCTTTCTTTTCTACTTTTTCATTGCTGCATTATATTCTGAATAATTTTAATCTTTCATTTGGTCAACTATCATTGTAGGGCTATATAGGCTGCTGATTAACACATATTTTGAGTTCATTTCTATTTTATGCTTTATAAATATGTTTCTCTTTTAGAGTGTGTATTTGCTCATTTCTCAAAGCTATCTATAAAATTCCCAGATCTTGCTGATAAATTCTTTGTTTTTTTGGACATGTTAATGATTTAAAGTCTCCTTCAGATTGCTTTATTATCAGTAATTCCTCAGACATGAATTCTCATATTTGTTGCATCTGCCACTTTCACAGTGGTAGGTTTGTATATCATTTATAATGTTTGTTTGAACTCTTTTCCTCCCACTGGAATCACAAGCATTCTCTAGATTATGGAAGTCTCCCATGGGATTTTTTTATATTCACCCATCATTGAGAGCTAAGGTTCTTACTAGTTCTAGGCCAGTTTTTAGTGCTGATTTTAATTTTATATTTTCAATATCACCCTAGTGGTACAAAATCAGATTCCATAAATGACACAGATTAGGTGTTCCATTTTGTCACTGGTGACTTTTGTATTTATAATAAAAAGTAGCCTGCATCTAGCCTATGTCTGCATTTGGGCTTTCCAAGTCTTAACATCCAAATTATATATTCTTTTCATTCCTGTTGTGTTCTTTTTTTTTTTCAATTTTTTTTATTGTCGTTGTTTGTTTTAAATTTATTTATTTCTTCAGAGAGAGTTGGAGTGGCCTATCCTAACAGGATCATCATGCTGTGATCCACCCCTAGTCTGAGCCAGCCTAAATCATGGGCATGGACAGACATATGTTCCGGCACATTCAAGGATGTTGCAGGACACAAACCTAGAGTACACTTGTATTACCACTGTGCCATCATCTAGCCTTGTGTGTGTCTAGTTATGTTACCACTGCATATCACCTGGCCTCTGTTTGCTTTTTAATGCAAGAAATTCAACCATTTTTATCTGTCTTCTACACACATGGTCCTGCAGATTATAACATAAGATCCTACTCCACTGGGTTGCTGAGCTTCCCTCCCACTCAGGATTATGTTACTTCTTTGTTTTTGGCACCTAGAGATTCTGCTTTTGTACTTTCAAGCACAAATACAATTTTGTCTTTGTTTGTGAAATTGTATCTGATATTACCCTTTCTGGAATGGGGTGGGGATTTTCTACCTATTCATATTATAACCACTTGTCAGAGAAATTGGAATCATATCATTAAATTTTTTTCTTGGCCCACTGTTGGTAACAATAAGCAAGGAACCTATATCTGTAAAATAAATATGATTCTGTCTATAATTCAACCAACTGCACTAAACATCTTAAAATCACGAAATAGTCTTGTAACGCAGTAGAGGTTGAAAGTAGGATTTATGAAAATTGTTTAATTATGGGAACCAGCAGTTAGCGTAATGGCTATGTCGCTGGACTCCCACGTAGTCGACCGCGGTTCGTGTCCCGGACCCGGCTTAAAACTCACGCCGGGTGCGTGCGCGTGCGTGCCCAAGATCCCGAGAGGAGAATGGAGGAGAAGGGATTGCGGCGTGACCATCCCCCCTGGGGGGTGATTTCTCGCTTTCTGTCTCTATGTCTCTCTCTGTCTGTCTGGCGAGCGCACGCGCCCTACGGTGAAAATCTCTCAAAAAAAAAATTGTTTAATTATCACATAAAAATTGTTATTTTTTATAAGTATGCCTACTCATAAAAAATTAAACAACTGAAAGCCTGTGTAATGATTTTAAAGTTTGTTTATCTGTTCCATGTGCAATAGAAGCAGAATAGAAGAAAGAGACACTGACACCTCCATCAGGGATCCAGTACTGTTATCCACCCTATCAGCCAACCATATATCATGGGCTACCATCTGTCTGTTGTACTCAGGGAACTCTCTGGACTTGAAACAGGAACCTTCCATGTGGGATTGCCTTGCAGAGTATTGCATTTTACTGATGGGTCATTGTCTGGCCCCTGCTTAATAATTTTGAGAAACATCTAACATGAATTTAACTTTTAAAATTATTTTAATTATAAAATTATTTTAAATTAAATTTTATATGTTAGATATCTGATTTTTGTGCTATCATTTATATAATCATTAATGTTTATCCTTACCTAGGATAGTAGATACCAGCATATGTTTTAGTATGCCTAATCTTAACAGTAGAAATATCATAAATTTTCATTACTTACATATCTTTAGGAAAGATTTTAAAGTAATTTTCTCCTGTATCTTCTTTTTAAAGATGTATGTTAACATTTTCTGACAATTATATTCAGTTGGAAATATGATCTATTTCATTATAAAGAGGATCAAGGAAAAGCGAGACATTCTTCTATTTGACTGAAAGTGACTATTTTTTCAGATTTAGTTTTTGCTTCTTTCCCTCTTTTCAGACATATGAAGAAAAAGTGAATCCAGATATACCAACACATACAAAGGAAGGCCAACAACCAAGTGAAGGGGGCATCTCATCTCCTCTTTACATTTCACACCCTGTAAGCCAGAAGAAGAAGAAAGTCTACCATACAGGCCAGACTACCTTTATAATTGGAAAAACACCAAAAGGAATCCGCAGGTATGTTATCTGGGACACTCAACTTTAAGGATAATTCCCAGCAGAAATATAGGTCCTCGGCCAGCCAGCTGTATGGTGGTGAAGCCAGCTGGATCCCAATTCGAGTCCTGGACCCTACAGCTTGAAAAACACACTGGGTGTATAAGCGTGCATACCTAAAATCCTGAAAGTAGAGACAGAGGAGAAGAGATTGTGGCATGACCATTCCCCTGGGAAGTACTTTCTCACTTTTTCTCTCTCTCCTTCTGGCATGCTCACATGCCTGCCCTCTGACAAACTAAATTATAAAATAAAATAAATAATAAAATAAAATAATAAAATTAAATATAAAATTAAATAAAGTTGTTAAAAAATGGTAATATAGGTACTTAGTTAGTCCAATATACAAATTATTTAAATTATAACCATACCTGGTATCTGAATAGTTCAGAAAAGTCTCAGTTGGCCTACTCTAAAAAATGAATTTCCAAATGTTTCAGATATTTTTAGAAGACTAAGTCCTGAATTGATTTTTAAAAAATCATTTTATAAGGATAACTGAAATACTTAGTGCATTTTTAGTCATTCATTTGCTGACTATTTACTAAGCACCTGATATGCACCTAGGTGTTATACCAAGTGCTGAATATACAGTTTAAAATAGGTAGACATGTGGGGCCAGTAGATGGAGTGGTGTTTAGGTACGAGACTCCCACATGGCCGACCACAGTTTGAACTCCAGACCTAGCAGCTTGAAATCTTGCCGGACATGTGTGCACATGTGCCCAAAATCTCAGAAGGAGAATGGAGAAGAAGGGATTATAGCATGGTCAGGCTCCCAAGGAGTGATTTCTTACTTTCCCTCTCCCTGTCTCTTTCCAACGAGTGCATGTGGCAAAAATCTAAAAAACATAGGCAGATGCAGAGTTTATGGTGCAGTAGGATAGGGGTTGACATCGAACCATAATATTTTAGAAAGTAAAAAAAAAAAAAAAACTTACCAAAAAATTATAAAATGATGTGTTGTAAGAAAGAAATGAACAGGCTGTCTTGACAGAGAATAATGGAATGGCGAGTTGAGGGGGAACCACCTTTCTACTGAATAGTCAGGGAAGGCCTCTCTACATAGGTAGCATTGGAGTGAGACCTGAAGGATGACCAGATAAAGAAGCAGAGAAAGGGCATCTCTGAGGAGCAGAGAGGTTTTCTGTATTCCAGGAGCTGAGAGAAGGCTGGGGGACGTAGTGCATAGAGAATGGCATGAAATGAAGATGGAGGTGGACGGGGCTGGAGCGCATAAAGCCTTGGAGACTGGGAGAGAGTGTGGATTTTACCCCAAGTGCAGTGCAAAGTTGTTGGAGAATGACATGATCTGGTGTGTTTTTAAAAGATGGTTCCAGCTTCAGTGTGGAAGAGGGCAAAGGGACAAGGGGAGACCATCAAGAATGAGGTGATGGTTCACGTAAGAGTGGTTGCCACAGGGATAGGGCCAGATGGATGCACTGAACTTGGTGACAGACTGGTCTGGGGAAAGGGGAGAACAGAATTACCTCTGACTTCCTGTCTCGAGCACCAGGGTGGATTTACTGAGTAGGGAAAATGCAGAAACAAGGTTAGAGGAAAAGACAAGAGTTCTCATAATAAATTTGGGATTCTATAGAATATCAAATAGGCAATACTCTGATATTGGGGCTCAGATATTTAAATTTGGGAGTCATCAGGGCCAGCAGGTGGCATGGTGATTACGATGCTGGACTCCCACATGGCCAACCACAGTCCGAGCGCTGGACCTGGTAGCTTGCTTTCTCACTTTCCTGCTCTCTCTCTCTCGCTTGCTCTCTCTCATCAAATTAAATAACAATAATAATAAATAAAATTAAATACATAATTCATTTTTTTTAAATGTGTGAGTCATCAGCATAGAGATTATAACTTTTTTAGGGCCATCGGACTATGCATCAGCCAAGTAGGACACAGAGAGGAAGGGGAAGCCCCAGGAACCTGGAGGAGGCAGCACCTCCCGAAGGAGGTGTCGGCAGTGGCCTACAGTGGGAGAGGCAGTGTAGGGTCATCAAACCTAAGAGAAATGAGAGCTTAAAAAAGGAAACAGTCCTTAAGTTTATCAAATGCTACAGAGAACCAACAGCAGATAAAGTAGGAAAGTGCCTCCTGGCGTAAGTGGCAAGAAGCTCATTGGCCACTTTGGCATGCGCAGTCCGAGAGGATCCGTGAGCAGCTACTGGGTGAGATGGGTCAGCGGTGAATGGGGACTCTAGAACAGCTCTTTGAGTTCTGATGTGAAAAGTGATGGTAGCTGGAGGGCACTGAGGGGATGAGAGGTTGTCCTATAGTTGGGCAGTGTTAGAACCTGTCTGTATACTGAGAAAAAGACTTAGGGGGTGGCACCAGCAGTTGGCATAATGGCCATGTCACTGGACTCCCACGTAGTCAACCAAGGTTTGAGTCCCGGAACCAGTGGCTTAAACTCACACCGGGTGTGTGTGCATGCATGCCCAAGATCCTAAGAGGAGAATGGAGGAGAAAGGACAGTGATGTGGCCATCTCCCCTTGAGGGGGGTGATTTCTCACTTTCTGTCTCTCTGTCTCTCTCTCTCTTTCTGGAAAGCGCACACGCCCTATAGTTAAAACCTCTCCAGAAAAAAAAAAAAAAACTTAAGGGAAAAAAGAAGTCATGCCAGAAGGGTGGTGAGATGAAGAGTGAAGCTAGAGCCAGGAGAGTACAGTATCCAGAACACAGGCCAGGGTCTGGGCTTAGAGAGGCATGGAGGGACAAACACAGGCACAAATATGGTGACATTTCCTCAATGAACTGAGAATTAAAGCCATCAGTTCAGAAGGAGAGTGATTGAAGGACGAGCAGTTAAGAAGCCAGTCATATAGAAAGTGAGAAGGTAGGTTTAGTGGGACTATACTTCTTGGGCGATGTGAACTCTCTGAGCATAATCTTGGTAAAACCACTGGTCCAGTTGTGCAGATTTTACTCAGTGAGCCCCAGTTGCTCTGTGGTAGACACAGAGCAGGGAGATGGCTGGGTTTTCCCAGAGGCTAGAGTGGAGGGAGAGAGCTGCAGGAAGCAGAAGGAGTGTTTGTGGAGTTGGACAGAAGCTGGATGAGACAGAAGCCGATGGACAGCAAGCAAGTCTGGGAGCCAGGAGTGGGGTTTGGATCTTGCAGCCTTGCTGTTGTGGCGGTAGGTGAGCAGGGGAACTACAGAGGACTGAGTTCAGGGATTTATTTGAGGGCTGCACAGCTGTTGTGATTACAATGGCGGAATACAACCTTGAGAGTAGGGGGACCAGCAGTTAGCATGATGGCTATGTCGCTGGACTCCCACGTAGTCGACCGCGGTTCGCGTCCCAGACCCGGTGGCTTAAAACTCACACCGGGCACATGTGCGTGAGTGCCCAAGATCCCGAGAGGAGAATGGAGGAGAAGGGATTGTGGCGTGGCCATCCCCCCCGGGGGGGGGTGATTTCTCGCTTTCTGTCTCTCTATCTCTCTCTGTCTTTCTGGAGAGCACACACGCCCTATAGCAAAACCACCCCACCCCCCCAAAAAAAAGAACGTGCTTCTTGGAGCTAGCAGGTGATGTAGTGGTTAAGGTGCTAGACTCCCACATGGCCAACCATGGCTTGAGTCCCAGACCTGGAGGCTTACTTTCTCATTTTTCCCTCTCTATCTCTGTCTCTCTCTGGTGAGCACATGTGCCTACAGCAAATTTTAATTAATTAACTAATTTTTAAATAAAGAACATGCATAATTATTATTTCCAACAAGAACTGGCAATTTCCAGGACAAAAATATGGAAGCTTGTGTTCCTGTTATTGATATTCTGTGGGGATGTGGGGATGAGCATGGTGTTGGCCAGGTGTGTATGCGCCTAGATTTGGAAGCCTTAACCAGGCAGCCTAGTGAGAGTGAGGAGCCTAGTGCTCATCCAGTCCCCACAAGTCACAAGCATGCACTACGGACTGATGCTAAAGTTAAAGGAAACCTCAACTTCGTATAACCTGTTATAGGGGCACGAATAAAAGTGGCACCAAAGCCCCCACTTACGTACATTAAAAGTCAATCATTATTTTACACTAAGGCTTCTCTGTTGGCAAAGGATAAAATGCAGACTTCAAAACTTGGCACACACACCCCTGGTAGCTTTCGATCTCCTCCTCGGCAGCTTCCCCAGGCCCTCTGCACCAGGTGCTCTCAGAACTGGGCCCTGCGTGCCCTCTCACCAGGGAAGGCTTCTTCACTCATGTTCATCTGACTGACCCACCTTGCCCACCACCAATCACTAGCCCAGGTACCCTCTGTGAGCACCATGGAGTCCTCCATCGTGGGATTTATCACTCCATTCTAGTTTGATTTTCATGCTTTTGTTCTCCCCAGCTAAACTGTAAACTCCTTAAAAGTAGAGATCTGAGTCTTACTGACAGTCATATAGTCCCTACCATAGTACCTGGTATAAAAGGGTAAGTACTGGGACCAGCAGATGGCATAATGGCTGTGTTGCTGGACTCCCATGTAGTTGACTGCAGTTCAAATCCCAGACCCAGTGGCTTAAACTCACGCCAGGCACTTGTGCATGTGTGCCCAAGATTCTGAGAGGAGAATGGAAGAGAAGGGATTGCGGCATGGCCATCCCCCCTGGGGGGTGATTTCTCGCTTTCTATCTCTCTGTCTCTATCTCTCTGGCAAATACACCCACCCTGTAGCAAAAACCTCTCCAAAAAAAAAAAAAAAAGAGTAAGTATTTGTCAAATAGACAAGTGAATTGTTTTTAAATATATTTTTAAAATAAAATATAATCCTAAGTGAATATTTTTTTAAAATAAACCATAATTCTAAAATATAGGGACTTTTAGTCCTGTGCTACAGTGCCATCTATGGCTTTTGTTTTAAAAATATGGTGACATTTTCACTTATGGATTCTGGGCTCTCCTGATACATGGCCCAACACAAGCTAAGCAGTGCCCTCTGGCTTAGTCTATTGGGGCTTCCAGAACAAAACACCACAGACTGGGTCACTTAGACAGCAGAAATGGATTTCTCACAGTTTTGGAGGCTAGAAGGCCGAGATCAAGGTGCTAACTGGCGAGTGCCCGCTTCCTGGCTTATAGTTGGCCACGCCTCACATGACAAAGGGGAGGAAAGGACTGAGAGGAGACTGTTTTAGCTGTCTGGTGTCTCTCTGTATAAAGACACCAACTCTATTGGAATACGGCCCACCCTTATGATATCATTTAACCTTGGGACCAGCAGTTAGCGTAATGATATCTTTTAACCTTAATTATCCCTTATAAAAGCACTATCTCCAAATACTGTCACGGTGGGGATTAGGGTTTTAACATGATTTTGTCGGGGATACAGTGCAGTCCATAATAACCTCGCTTGGGGAAAGGAGCAGAGTCTGTTGCCCAGAGTCCCTAAATAATCTTTCTGCCCCATCTTCCCAGGGTTTCAGAAGGTCCATTCCTTCATCTCTACAATATACATATACATAAAACAGACTGCATGAGTGTTGTACTAAGAATGCAATTCACTTCCTCAAATAGTGTCTCACGTCTTAGTTTCCTTGGTTAAACTGATACTGGACCAGTTGGGGGGAAAAGAATCTAGACAACAGTTTAGGTCTTTCTCTTAGATTCATCAAAAAGTCTTGTGAGAGCCAGTCAGTGACTTGGTGGTTCAAGTGGCTGGATCCCACATGGCTGACTGTGTGGTCTGAGGCCCAGACTCAGCAGCTTGAAAAACATACCAGGTGCATGTGTGGCCATATCCAAAATCCCAAGAGGAGAATAGAAAAGAAGGGGTTGCATGTGCACTTTTGGGGTGCTTTCTCACTTTCTCTGTCTCTCTCTTTATCTCTCTCTCTCCCTGGTGACCACACATGACCCATAGAAAGAAAAAAAACGTCTTGTAAGTTTCTATGTTATATTTGTAGAAGAAGGAGAAAAAGGAGAGAAAAGGGGAATACAAATTTTGGTCTTAATTTTCCAGAATTTTCTATTTTTTATTCATTAAAACCCTTCTTTGACACTTTTATTTCATAGGACTTGAATGCAGTATAGATTTTCAACTACAGATTATGTAAATTATGATTCTCATGTCAGTCATAAACTGGCTTACTGGAGAAGTAGCATGCTGGGATCTCGTAATTTCCAGGAAATACCTAATAATATAAATCAAAATAACTTAAGGGGCTGATGATTTCATGAGTTAAAATATTTTTTTCATTAACATAAGGAACGAAGCAACAGTTCACTAGAATACATTGCATTTTCATCATGGGGTTAAGCAGATTTATATTAAACAGACAAGGTGACCTTGCTTTGTCCCCACATTTTCTATCACTGATAATGAGTTCTTAAAAATAAAACTAACTACTGGTTTCATTCATTAAATCTTTAGAAAACAATTTGAAGAAATGGCCTCCTACTTTCATTTTTCTACTATAAAGGAATTTGCTAAACATATAACAAATGCCACATCAGAAGAACGACAGAAAATGCTGAGAGACTTTTATGCTTCTCAGCACCCAGAAGTAAAAGAATTTTTTGTGAATTCTCCTTCCAAGTGTATCAACTCTGCGTATGAGGAAGGAGAAAGAGTCGGAAATAAATCTGAGCAAAAAGAATCTCTTAGCAAAGCAAGGCTGTCGGGTTCTGAAACTCGGTCATTGGAAGAATCTACCAACAAAATTTCTGAGATTTACAACCCACCTATGTGTAAAGGAAAATCAATGAAGTGTCAAAATTATTTTTCCTGTAGCGAAGAGTCACTTTCTGGTTGTGGGAAAACTAAGAAGTTACCTACTAGCTCTAGTCGAGAGATTGGCAGTGGAGAAAATGACCAGGCACCCAGTGATACTGTAGCTTTCCAGTCGCTGAACAGCAAGTCTGAAGTGTATGAGAGGAATTTAGAAGATACCCTGGAAGATCATTGGGCCCTCACCAGAACAGGTGTTTCAACAAATGCACCCTTTTCCAAACTGGACAACAAAAAGACAAAAAATCCAGCTTTAGAAAATTCTTCTATAGAAGGATTACTTGGTGACACTTCTATTCTTGATGACCTCTTTCAAAGTCACAGGAAAAGTCCCACACAACTGCCAAAGAAGGTTCTGCCAGGACCCTCAGAAAAAGCAAAACAGAGACCAAAAGATTTCTGGGACATCTTGAATGAGCAGAATGATGACAGTCTTAGTAAACTTACAGACTTGGCAGTGATAGAGACCCTGTGTGATAGAGCCCCCCTTGCCGCATCCTCCAAAAAGAAAGAAGAGCTAGAAACTTCTCTTTGGAAATCAAATGAGAAATTTTTGTGGAAAAAATTTGACTCAGGTGATACAGATGAGAATACAACTGCTACAGAGTGATACGTAAATATGTAATGAATTCCACCAGCGAACTGCTGCCATCGTCCACAGCACCATATTCCACACCAATCATGTTATCTTGAACACCGCCATCCACGTACATTTTCATTAAATTCTTGCCTTAGGGTTTTTTTAAGTATCAAATGTTACCATGGATTGATTGATATTTGATTTGATCTTTTAAAAACTATGATTGTATTACAGTACAAACCTCTATTATGAAATGGAAAATATTCTAGACTTGTTATCAGGAGCCCTGGGGAACCTCCCTGACGGTGTCATTGTGTGACCTTAGTAAGTCACTCGCTATGTTTGTAGGATGGAAAATGAAGCTTGGCTCACTCTTCAGGTTCTAGTTATCACAGGCCCAGTCACCCCGACTCCCAAACTAGGTGAACATTGGCATGCTTCTTTCTTACTAACATTTAGAAAATTACTAAGTAATTTCCTTTTCCCTCAATATCATGTTCTATTATTTTAGATTAAAATCATAACTAGTATTAAACATATGGCATTGTGTTAAAATGGCAATTTTACAACTCCAAATCAAAAGGGTTGACTATCTGAGATATGATGCTAAAGTAGTGTAGTTACCATTAGTCACAGATACCGATGCCTCAACTTTTATATAACTATTATAACTTAGTCCATATAAATAAAGTGTTTTATATAGCACCTTCCTTAAGTATAAAGAAATGAGCGAACATTTTATTTTATTTGAAACCGTTATATTCGGTCGGATTTCATTCATATGATTTTATTCCAATTGGAATATGCTCATCATTGAATTAATTTATTTAAAAACATTTGCTCAGCCCCTACGTTCTGTGCTAGGAGCTCAAGCTGTACAAGGAGGCCTGGCTATTCGTAAAGAAGGGAGGTCACCCCTGTACAAAATCAGGTCTGTGAAGTCCCGGGCATCATGCCTGGCCCATGGTAGGCAGGGTCTAGGCTTCTGCTGACCTACATCCAGGGCTGTGGTAGGAGGACTGTCCATCCAGAAAAATGGTGGCCGTAAGCCAGGAGCAGGTTGTGCTCTGAGATCAGAGCCCAACTGTGATGAGGAGAGGGGGCTTGGGAGGACCCAGGATGTGGAGCCACTGCTCAGAAGTAAGAAAAAGCAAAACCAAAAATAATTGTAACATCTTAGGAGACTGAATGAGTGTATGTGTGTGTGTGTGTGTGTGTGTGTGGTATAGATATATACACATGTATACATACATATACATATATACACACATATATACATATACATACACACACATGTGTATATATTGGGTTGTTGGAAAAGTAATGATGCATTTTTGCATAGAAAAATAAACCATGACTTTTCCAATGATCTTATTATTTGAACTTGCAATCATCATCAGAGAGAGAGAAAATGAGCACACAGTCTGCCAGACCTAAGACTCAAACCATGGTCATCTATGTGGGAGTCCAGCGACCAACCATCATACACCTGCTGACCCCTATCATGTTTTTTCAAGGCTTTGCTGTAGGGTGGGTGGTTAAGGGAGCCAGACTTTACATGGCCAACCATGGTTCAGATTCCAACCCCAGGGGCTTGAAAAACACGCTGGGTACATGTGCATGCCCCAAATTCCAACAGGATGGAGAAATGGAGAAGGGACTATGGCTTGACCACACCCCTCTGGGAGTGCTTTCTGCCTGTCTGTCTGTCTCTGGTGTATACCTGTCCCATGTTAATTAAAAAAAAAAAAAAAAAATTCAATGTACCTGGTTTAAATTCTGAAATTACCCTTTCTTTGTGGTGTTAAAATCTAGCCCTCTTTTTAATGAAATGATGATAGATCACAGTATTTAGTCTTGTTCATTGTCCTTCTGTGATATAGAAGTTGGTAACCTTCCTTATGTCAGTCCCAACAGTTATATTTGACACTTACTGTCCAATAAAATCCAAAAGAATCGCAATGGCCACCTACCTTCAGGGTCATTTTTTACATATAAGGCACTTGATTGCTGTAGGTCACTATGCCCCAAGTCTAGTTAACGGTGGATTCAGGAGTCTCAGGACTCCCAAGGATATCGCTGAAACTGTGAGACCCACAGAGGCACGCACACCTGCACAGGGCCAAGAGCGTAGACTGCCCATTGGCCTCCTTGCTGCCTTCCCGGCACCGTCACTCATGTGACTCTGTTTCTGGTTCTCACACCGTTTTTGCAAAGCGTCCTCACCCAGTGCTTCTGGGGGACCTTGCAGGAATGACTCTTCCCCTGTGCAAGGGAGTCTGGGGAAGAGAACATGGTGTTTGTGGGAGGTAGGAAGAAAACAGCTCACATTTTCTTCATTAAAGGGCAACCCCATGTGAACCATCTTGCCTCTTAGGGTCTTTGCACAGAAAAACGGCTCTTCTGGTGTTTACTCCCTGCCCCTAGAAGGGAAGCTTCAGAGTCACCCTTCTTCCAAAATCCAAGGTTGTGTGATTCGCAGCCCTCCAGGATGGTGGGTCGGAGCCACCGGCAGACTTTGAAACACAGATGCCCAGGTCCCTTCCCAGAGCTACTGGGTGACGGGGTTCAGCACATGCTTTGTGTTAAATTTTGTGGTAGTGCTAATGTGCTAATGCTTTGAGGTTTGTCACTGGACAGGACTCACCTGCCTGACCCCTGGCTGGGTCTTTTTGGTCATCGAGAAAGTCATGACCTTTTTTTAAAAAAAAAAATAATTATTATTATTTACTTAATTTTATTTATTCATTCATTCATTTCTTTTCATTTTACCAGAGAGAGACACACACAGAGAGAGAGAGAAAGAGGGAAAGTGAGAAAGCAAGCCACCTGGTCCAGGACTCAAACCGTGGTCGGCCATGTGGGAGTGTCTAGCACCTTAACCACCACACCACCTCCTGGCCCCAATGGCATATTTTTTGTGCAAAAATGCATCATGGTTTTCTCAGAGATCCAATATTTCCATGGAGCGCCCTCATCTTCCTCCACCCACCCTCAGACTTGTGTGAAGCCAGTGGCCACATGGCTGAGCTCTTGATGGAGCCCACTCTGTGCTTTGTCTTTAGACCCCAAAGTTGCTGTTAATGTTCCTGCAAAAATATCCGCACGTTTACACACCCATGTTCATAGTGGCATTCTTCACAAGAGCTCAGACATGGAAGCAAGCCAAGTGTCCCTTGACGGATGAATGGATAAACAAGATACACAGGCACACACACACAGTGGAATATTAATTGGCCTTCACTAGAAAAGAAGCTCCAGCATGCTACAGTGTGGATGATGAACCTTGAGGACTTTATGCAAAGTGAAATAAGCCAGACACAGAAGGACACAGTGTGTGATTCCCCTGGTGAGAGGTACCTAGAGGAGTGAGATTAATAAAGACAGTAGAAAGGTAGTTGCCAGGGGCAGGAGGGAGAGGCAGTCAGGGGTTGAATAGCTGCATAGTATCAGTTTGCAAGATGAGAAGAATTCTGGTGGTGGGTAGTAGTGATGGTTGGACAGCATTATGGATGTATTTAATTCCACTGAACTGTGCATTTAAAAGTGATTAAGGGACCAGCAGTTAGCGTAATGGCTATGTCGCTGGACTCCCACGTAGTTGACTATGATTCGAGTCCTGGACCCGGCGGCTTAAACTCACTCCGGGTGCGTGTGCGTGCGTTCCCAAGATCCCGAGAGGAGAATGGAGGAGAAGGGATTGCGGCGTTGCCATCCCCCCTGGGGAGTGATTTCTAGCTTTCTGTCTCTGTCTCTCTCTGTCTGTATGGCAAGTGCACACGCCCTATAGCAAAAAAAAAAAAAAAAGTGGTTAAGATGTGGGACCAGTTGATGGCATAATGGTTATTTCACTGGACTCCCACATAGTTAACCGCAGTTCGAGTCCCAGACCTAGTGACTCAAAACTCATGCCAAGCATGTGTGCATGCCCGAAAGAGGAGAATGGAGGAGAAGGAATTGTGGCGTGACCATCCCCCTGGCGGGGGGGAGGGGGGGAGGCAGAGGATTTCTCACTTTCTGTTTCTCTGGCATGCACACACACCCTATAGCAAAAATCTCTCTTAAAAAAAAAGTTAAGATGGTAAATTTATAGTTACATATTTTATATTTTTTTAAATGAAAGAAAAGGGTCTGTCCAAAAACACACCTCACCAAAATGTGTTACATATCAAATTTTAGCATGTGAGGTCATTGATCTATTTGAAATTAATTTATATACAAATGTGAAATTGTAATATAAATTGGTTTTGTTTTTTTTTTTTTTTTTTACATCATGGCTCCATATAAAATTTAATTTGGAAACATTGTTTCCCTGATTTAAAAAACCTGGGGGACCAGCAGGTGGTGTGGAGGTTAAGGCAGCTGGATCCCACATGGCTCACTGTGTGGTTCAAGTCCCAGACCCAGCTGCTTGAAAAATGTGTCAGGCTTGTGTCCATGTGTGCCCAAAATCCTGAGAGGAGACTGGGAGAGAATTTCAGTGTGGCCATCCTCTCCGGAGGGTGATTTCTCACTTTTCCTCTCTCTGTCTCTGTTTCCCTTTGTTGAACACACACACCCTATAGCAAACTTTAAAAAAAAAAATTATTTTGGAAAAATCCTACACATCAGCTTTTTATTTTCTGATTCTGCTTTGTCTATATGTATTTTATTCACTCTGCAGCAGATTAACAAATGATGATTATATTTATTCCCTGAATTCCTAAATGTAAGACCAGTCTTAGTTATAGGAATCCGATACCTTTCTATCACTGACACAGATATACCCAGTTGGCATTCTTGCTGTCTACTGCTCTCTGTAGACAAAATGCAAGAATGCCTTTTTTCTTTTTATTTTTTTATGAGAAGTTTTTGCTATAGGGTGTGTGCACTCACTGGAGAGACAAAGACAGAGAGACACAAAATGAGAAAGCACCCCCCAGGGGGTGATGGCCACACCACAATCCCTTCTCCTCCATTCCTGTCTCAGGATTCTGGGCACACACACACATGCACCCAGCGTGAGTTTTGAACTGCCTGGTCTGGGACTCAAACCATGATCGACTACATGGGAGTTCAGTGATGTAACCATTATGCTATCTGCTGGTCCCTAGAATGCCATTTTGGATAGCCAAATGCCCCCCCTAGGTTTCGTTGAAAGAATAACTGACATTTTATACTGATTTGGTTTATCTGATAGGCAGGAAAATGTTTGCATCTCTAAATTTCTTATTGGCTCTAAGTCCTCTTGTCAAATTAGAATATGAATTAGTACCCCCCATACGTCTTTTAACTTTGTTTTTTGTTTGTTTGTTTTTGTTTTTGTTTTTGTAAAATGGGACATGCTTCTGGACTGAGCTACTTAGTGTATTTTTTCCCCACTTTTCTAATGACCATAAAAGCATTGGTAGGAATAACAAAGAACTAATTTTTTTTTTTTTTGGAGAGGTTTTTGTTATAGGGTGCATGCTCACCAGACAGAGAGACAGAAAGAAATCACCCCCCCAGGGGGATGGCCACACCACAATCCCTTCTCCCCCACTCTCCTCTTGGGAT